TTTAGATTGGGAAAATGCAAGAGCATTTGTCTAATTTCTAATGATATTCTATGAGGTAACCAAAATATTTTTTGGATCTTTGTATATTACCATTCATTCTGCATTTCATCAGCTTGCCTTAATCCATGACGAGATTATGGCATCTTGCATGAACCTGAATCCTATTCTAGCAACTATGGGAATAGAAATGAAAAGGAAATATGATAAATATTGGGGACATTTACTCAATATTAATCATCTTCTTTACATTGGTGTCACTCTTGATCCTCGTTACAAATTAAATTATGTGATTTGGTCCTTTGAATAAATGTACATAACTGAACCAGATTTTTTGGTTGAAATCTCTTGTGCTGTTAAGACAAGTTTGTCTAGAATGTATGGTTGGTATGCAACATCCCATGAGCAACAAATGAGGGGTGGCCAGTCATTACGTCGTCCATTAGAGGGGATTTCAGTTGCTAGACTTGCTGGTCCTACTGAAATTCCTCTCCACAAAAATAGGATTGATGCCTATAAAGAACACTTAAAGAAAAAAAATTCCATTGAACAAAAAAATAAGCTAGAAAAGTACCTTTTTGAAGATTGCATTTGTGTAAATGGAGATCAAAATTTTGATCTACTTCTATGGTGGAAGCAAAACTCCTCACAATTTCTAATTTTGTCTAAAATGGCTAAAGATGTTCTAGCTACCCTGTATCCACTATTGCATCTGAAAGTATATTTAGCACAGGGGTAGAGTTTTAGACACTTTTAGAAGTTCTCTCAGTCTAGAAATGGCAGAGATGATTTATGCCCAAAATTGGTTAAGGCCCTCTTTTCAACAATTTAAAGAGTTTAGTCTAGTTAAGGAACAAGAGAACTCAGAAACAGTTATAACAGGTAATTGATTTTTCAATTAACTTAATCTTGGAATATTTTTCAATTAATGTATTTAATTATTTGACTGTTTCTAATTTGCTTTGAATTTTTCCAAGAATTTCATGTTGGTCTTGGAGGTGTTGCCCCTGGTTCTGGTTCTGGAGGTGCTACCACTGGTTTTGGAGGTGCTGCTGTTGGTTTTGGGGTTGGAGTAGGGTTGTGTACTCAGTCACAACCAATGGGAAATCATTGAAATCTCATCATCTGGTTATTTTTTTTATTTCATACTGATTTTTAAATCAATTTAATGTTTATTATTTGTGCCATTAATTCAGAATTTATATTTTTTTCTATCATTTTGAACTTCTTGGAGTGTCTTGAAGCTATTGGACACTTGGACTCAATACTTTTGGAAGTCATCACTCATCATCATATATTTTGGTATGGAGTATCTGTTGGATTCTACTTGATAGTTGAGTCTTATAAACTATTTCTAAATTCTAGTTAGAACTGACTTATTTATAATTTCACTTACTTTAATTGTTTTATTGTTATAATTTTGAGGCTTAGAGTTGTATCTTTGCACTTCGTCATGATAAGAATTGCAAATATATCATAAGACAACGGTAATATGAATTTTTCAGTATGTCTTGCAATTACAATTTTCAGATTTGATTGTTTTGAAATTTGTTCATTGCCTCATTTTATTTTATTTTGTGTTAGAAATGTTGTTCCGAAGGTGCCTCTACTGCTTTTGGAGTTTGACAAAAATCCACAACAAATTCTGTTCAAGTTAGCTTTCATAAAATAAGAATTTGTTTTATCTCAAGCATATTCCTTATTTTATTTTAACTATGATTATAATTTTGTATCCTGTGCATTTTGGTTATTATATTGTTCTCCTTTTATTTTCAATTAATTTATAATCAAGTCGTTGAAGTTTATGTTAGAATCATTTGATTATTAAAACAATTCATAGAATATTCTATGTAAGTATATTCCTCTCTGTTAATTTGAAGTTTAAATTAGGTAAAATAATTGTGTATTATTTTTTCTACTAATGCATTGATTTTTTTTTCATACAGGCTACTTGGTTGCTAATTACTAAAGTTGAACATATGCACCACTTTAGACATCATTAAATATGATTACTTGTGTTAATTATCATTGTTGTTATAATGGACAACAAACTTTAAACTCTTAGTTATTATGATTGATGATAATATTTTTAATGTTATGGACAATAAACTAAAATGTTGACTATTAATGATTGATGATGATATATTAATATAATATTTACTCTTTCATCATGATGATGATATTATTGATGTAATATTTAATGTTTTAGATTTTGAATTGTGATGAATGATTATGTTTTTTTTTTTTTGGAGTTTGAACTATGATAAATTTTAATTTTTAAAATATTTTTATTTTGGATTTTGAACTGTAAATATTGTAAAATGATGCAAGTTATTCATCAATTTTATTTTATATTTTTTTTAACATAAAGATGATTTAATTAAGTGTTAAAAAGAATGGTACGATTTTTTTCATTACTAAATAATAATTTTTGATTCAGTAAAAAAATAATTGAAAATGGATTGGACCTGTATAATCTGAAAAAATATGATAAATAAGCAAAAATTAGAATTAGACCTTATCTTAAAAAAATGGAATAAAGTAGCAAAAATTCAAAGGAAAAAAAAAGAGAGATTTTAGCCTGAACAATCTGCAATTTTTTTAAAGAACCAATAGTTTGGCCCACCCGAGATAACCCACCCGTCTGACCCAGTATCCGCTCAACCCGAAACTTGTGTGACTCGATTCTTTATTCGGTCTTGAAGTTAATCCATCAGTTTGCGTCAGTTTTAGATTATTGGGCCTGAACCCGACCGCGGCCCACCCTGTCGTGCGTGAAACTGGGAAAAAATATTTAATGAAAATATCTAATGATTAGCGGAGCTCAGTTGGTACGAACGTTTCATAGGTAGAATTTAATTTAAAAACCACGTTTCATTGGAAAAAAGGTTCTACGAATCTTAATTTTTAAGAATGTTTTACGAATCATGTTTTTTAAAATATTATTCTTATAAAAATATCCTATACAATTAATATATTCTTTACTTTTTAATATTTATCATAGTATCTTATATATAAAATAATATATTTTTATATTTACATGTTTAATATTTTAACAATATATATTATTTATTTTAATTTGAATATGTATTATAATATATCTAATATTTATTATTATATTATATTTAATTGATCTAAAATTATACAAAAATTTTAATTTATATAACTTTCAATTTTTATAATGTATTATGATATTTTAAATTTATAATATTACAAAATTAATTATTTTTTTACTTGATCTATAAGTATTTTTTTCATATAAGTTTTTTAAAAATAAATATCATATGTTGATAACTTAATATTTTATTAGTAATTTTTAAAAACTATTTTAAAGATATAAATAAAATTATATGTATATATTATTATATTTAGGTACAATATGTTTTTAATTTAAAATAAGTTATATTTAGAATTATTTTATTTTATCAAACTTTTATTATTCTAACAAATAATATCACAATTATAGAGTTAAATTAAAATAATTTTAAGAAAATTATTTATTATATATATATATATATAACTTATGTATTACGTCAACTACTAATTAGTTTAATAAATAATTGTGTCTAATTATGTTATTGAAAGATTAATTATTGTGGTATTGTATTTATAAAAAAAGATTTTAGTACGACAAATAAATTTTACTTTAATTTTTTTTACACTTAAAAAATGATATATATTAACGACTTAAAAATTCATGATAAAAAGTAGTTTTATTATTTAGATTACTAATTAATATTATATATAATATTATATTTATTTATTTTATTTATCTTACTTTTTAATATACACCCATCCTTAAAATATATTCCTGATGTAACATATATAGATGTTGATGTACACAAAATATTGTAACATGCAAACTTGGCCTACCGGCAGACTTATAAAATAGTACAAAACGTGTCACTCGTGAAACAGTAAAAAATATTTAAGTAACAAACATCTTTTTAGCTATGACACCCGATTTGATATTTTAATTTATAAATATAAAATATTTAACGTAAATTTATTATATATTTTATTTTTAAAATAAATTTATAAATTATAAAAAAATTTAATACAGTAAAGTTTAAAAGCTAAAATATTTAATAAAATTATTTTATTTCACAATTAGTTATATATATTTTTTAAAATTAAAATTAACTAAAAATAACTTATTATATATTTTCTTTTATTAGAATATTGTTATTTCTTAATTACGTTTTTGTTAATTTTATTATAAGTATTAGAAATAAAAATTGTTGCTTATATATTTTTATATTTTAAGTTTTATTAAGTTATATAAATTTTATGAATACACATGTTTATGTTTGTACAATTTTGTTTATTATACTATATAAATTTTTAAACTCATACTTAAAAAATTGTAGAAAAAGTATAAAGAAAAATATATGGAACGAAAAAAATAATTATTAAAAAATAAAATTATCTTCAAAAAATATAAATAATTGGATTGAATATTCTTCTATACGTATAAATTAAGATTAAGAATAATATTTATACATATACGATTCTATAATATTTATTTTGAATGATTATACTTTTAACTTATTTGTTATCTTTATCTCTCTTCTTTTATTCATTTCACATTTCACTCCTCATTCTAGACTTGAACAAAATATTTTGCTTTTTGCTTTTCTTCTTCTTTATTTTATTTTGTTTGATATTTTTTAACTCATTTCATTACTTAATATTTTTTTTTATTAAATATATAATTTTGTAATTTAAATTATTAAAAATTAATAATATATAAAACATAAATATTATTATTTTATTCTCTCTTTTTTTATATAAATAGCAAAACATATACTATAAATATTAAAAACCACCTTAAAATGACAACTGTTCCATTTTTATATTACAAACAACGTTTTCCTTACCACATTTACAGGTAACCAGTACTCACTACAAAAAAATATTCAGCTAATTAGTGTACTGTATATCGATCATTTCTCTTTATAAATTAGCACCAACTCAGTACCTAACATCTTTGAAGCCATTGACTTTGTTTTTCCTTTCTAGTTTGTTCATCGGCAATGGCCTTTTCTGAGGACTTGGAATCACCTCCACCATCTCTGGTCTTTTCAGTGCGGAGGAGCCAACCCGAGCTGGTGGCGCCAGCTAAGCCTACTCCCCACGAAGTTAAGCTTCTATCTGACATAGATTGTCAGGCGGGTCTACGCGCCCAAATTCCAATCATACAGTTCTACCGCCAGGAGCCATCGATGGCGGGGAAGGACCCAGTTGAAGTCATTCGACACGCTCTCGCACAAGCACTCGTCTTCTACTACCCACTCGCCGGTAGACTCAGGGAAGCTTCCGGCGGCAAACTCATGGTGGATTGTAACGAAGATGGCGTCATGTTCATAGAAGCGGACGCAGATGTCACACTCGACCAATTTGGCGACGCTCTAAAACCCCCATTCCCATGCTTCCAAGAACTCCTCTACGAAGCTCCCGGCTCTGAAGGAGTTACGGACAGCCCCATTTTACTCATCCAGGTCCAACATATATATTTACAATCTTCTACATATATATAATAGTGGCTGTCATACATAAACACTTATATCATTTAATGAATTTTCATAAAAAAATAATAAATATTTTACCAGTTTATTTTATATATTTTAATATTTTAAAATATAAATAAATATTAAAATTTAAATAATATATTTATAAATATTTAAAATTATGTAAACTTTATTAGATATAATTATAAAGATAATATAATAGTTAAATTAACTGATCTTGTATTTTATGAAAAATTATTAAATATTATAAAATTATTTTAATTTGAAATTTGATGTGAATGAATATAACTCATAAATAATTATTTTGTCCAAATTTATCTCTCACGTAAAACACTCTTCTTGCGGATACATTTCCTTTGTACAAGTAATGGATCTATGAGAAATTTTGCATATATAAAAAGGAAAAGAATAAACTTTAATTACTAGATATTATCATTAATAATCATAATTAAAATCTATAACTTATACACAATTTTAAGAAAACTTTGTAACATTTTACATTAATATGTAATTTTCTAAAAGCTTATAATTTACATCTCTAGTACTAGAGATGAAAATACAAAAAGATTTTAAGTTTAAGAAAAAATTTATTAGATTTATAATTTATTTAAAATTCATAAAATTTATAATAATATATTAAATAATTTTATATAAAATTATAATATAATATAATATTAAATATTTTTTTATTAGAGTTGAAGAATACTATTATTTGATTTGTCTTATATGTATAATTCTTATTTGCATTTGCACTGTTTTAATTATATATTTTGATGAAATAAAAATATGTAATTTTTATACATATATTTAAGGTAATAAATTATTTTTTTATAAATTTTTTAGATATAAGTTTTATAGTATTTATTATCTGTCATAGCCTATTTATAAATAAGTTTAATCACCATTAAAAGTCTCAATACGAAGTAGGTTATTAAAAATGTTAATAAAATAAAATAAATTTTTAAAAAAATTAAAATGGGTTTAATAAAAAGTATATAATAAATAATAAATAAAATTTAAATTTTAAAATTATTAAATAATTTAGACTTCTTTATACAAAGTCTAGTCTATTTTACTTTATTTTATTTTTATTAATATACAAAACGAAATATCTTTTTAAGTAAAATTTATAAAAATAAACATTAATTATTAAATCTTATCATGATTCATGAAAATTAAGACACGTAAGTTATATAAAAAGAATTATTAATTAGATAATTACATGACTTTTAAATATTATAATCATGATTATTTATATATTATATGATCTAAATCTATACTTTTTACCAACTTATGTAAAAAAAGTTTCTCTCATAAATAATACGAGTCAAGATCTCTTTGACATCACGTAAAATTTATTCATTTATATTATTTGATAATTTTTGTAAAATATAAAATTAATCAATTCATTTGTTTGAATTATTTTATATTATCTTTATAATTATATATATTAATTTTATATAATTTAAATATTTATATGTATATTATTTAAACTTTAATGTTTATTTATATTTTAAAAATATTATCTACAAAAATAAAATAAAATGATAAAATATCTATTAATTTTATTTATAAAATATATAAAATTAATTTATTTGAGAACAGCAATGCTTAGAGTAATTAATTAAAATGTGAGCAGTTGAGCATAAGAAAAATATTATTCATGATATGATCACGAGTTTATTCTTCACTTTACCTGTTATAATTTGCATTGATGTGTGATTACAAATTTTCAATTTCATTTGTTAATATACGTTGATTGATATACAAAGGTGACACGTCTGAAGTGCGGTGGTTTCATCTTTGCACTGCGTTTTAACCACGCCATGATAGACGGAGTTGGCACAATTTATTTCATGTATGCGGTGGCAGAGATAGCACGGGGAGAGCAAGAGCCTTCAATTTTACCGGTGTGGCGCAGGGAGCTACTAAGTGCCAGGGATCCCCCACGTGTCACGTGTAACCATCGCGAGTACGAACAACTAACTGACACAAGCGGCGTCGTTCCACTCGAGTTCGAACAGCGCTCTTTCTTCTTCGGACCGAGCGAGATAGCCGCCATCCGAGGCCTGCTTCCCCACGATGTGGACCAACACGCGACAACGTTCGAGGTGCTGACGTCATACGTCTGGCGGTGCCGCACGAAAGCGCTGCAGATAGAGGCTAAGGAGGACGTGCGAATGATGTGTATTGCTGATGCACGCGCCAAGTTCGAGCCTCCCTTCCCAGGGGGCTATTATGGGAACTGTTTTGCGTTCCCAGCGGCAATAACGAGCGCAGGAGAGCTTTGCGAGAAGCCGCTTGAGTATGCGTTGAAGTTAATACAGGGAGCGATTGAGGAGGTGAGTGGGGAGTATATGCATTCTTTGGCGGATTTTATGGTGACTGAGGGACGACCATTGTTTACAGTGGTTAGGTCGTGTCTTGTTTTGGATACTACGTATGCTGGGTTCAGAGGATTGGATTTTGGTTGGGGTAAGGCGTTGTATGGAGGGATGGTTAAAGCTGGTGCTGGGGCTTTTCCTGCTGTAAACTTTCACGTGCCGTCTCAAAATGCCAAAGGAGAAGAAGGTATATTGGTTTTGGTTTGCTTGCCCACCCAAGTTATGAAAGTTTTTGCCAAAGAGTTGGATGATAATATGCTCCTTCAGAACAACGTATGAACCAAGAGAGTTTTTACACAGTTATCCAGTTATATCCTGCGTGCATTTATAAATAAAGTAATTAGGAGTAATAGGTAGTTTGTAAAACGTCGTGTGTCTATTTAAACGTTGGTGTTTTACCGCTGTACCAAATAAATTTGGGGAACTGGAAACAAGATGAGTCGTTGTTAACTCAGATCATGGTTTGAATAATTATTTACTATCAAAGTTTGTTTGGTCGCGCTTACCCTCTTTATAATATTTGCATCACAATATTTGACTTATTAGATATTCTTTTTATGTATTTTTCATGGCATGGGAAGCTTTTTTGTACTATTTTATCGTACGTATCATTTATTTTTACGGTTAGCATAAAATAATCAAATATTAAGAGTAATTAATTATATTTTAATTTTATGTTAACTGAATAAATATGTGTATATGAAACAAAGTATTGGGTATATGTTACTAAATCATTGATTCAGTTAAAATCTTTAAAACCAAATGTCGCCATTTTTCGGAATAATGCTAACCAATTTTTTATATGACTATGTTGAAAATGAATTTCTAAACGTAAAAGGCAATCAAACATTCATATATATTATAAGTAAAAAATTAACTAAAATTTAAGATTAATTAACCATATTTTTGTTGGGTATTAAACTCACATCTCACTTGGAGAATGGCCAAAAAAAATAGCAAGCTCACTTTATCTTATTTTCAGAAGTAGAGATAAAAAGTCTTTAGAGTTAAAAGATAGGAAAAGTTATTGGACTGATAAAGTAACCACCGTTGTGAGAGAAGAAGAGAGAAAATCATTTGTAAACAACTTTAAAATAGTCTTAGTAAAGTCTGTGTTGGCAAAGTCATTTACCATTGGATCAGCCTAAAATTTTGATTGCAATTTCATGACATATGGCTCTTTGTTTTAAATGATTGGATTGTTGAAATGAGGTATTTGGTGCAATTAACTAAGACCACAAAGTTGCTATGTTTTTGGAGTATTTTCGTTTTCTTGTTTCTCATTTTGTAAGTTTTGTTGTAGAGTTTGATTGACTAGTTGTAAGCATACTTTGTACATTTATTTATAATTCTTTTGCACCCTTATTTAATTATAGTAAAATCATTTCTTTTGTCTACAACTTTTAGTTTTTATCTCTCACATTGAGGAAGTTTTATATGTTATACAACTTGATGTTTACTTTCTATTTTGGTGTTTTTATTTGCTATAATATTTATTGTTACTCCTCGTAGATTCTTGTAAGTTAGGAGATTTGATTTTGTTGTGTTATTTGTTTTTGGATTTGTGTTGTTGTGTTGGCGTCCCCATCAAAGTAGCATCAAAACTCTTTGGTTTAAGGGCGTTTTACTTGCTTAAATGATGAGGGTAAGTATCACTTGCGGAAGGTAAAAATGAAAGACTTCCTATTTGTAAAGAAAACACATCTTCCTACCTTTGTTACTCAAAAGTCGAATTCTATGTCTGATGAAAAATGAGACTATGAACATTAAAAAGTGTGTGGTTTCATTTGGTATTTTGTAGATAATAATGTTTATAACCACATTACAAGTGAGACATATGTAAGGACTTTGTGAGAGAAGATTGAATCTTCATATGCTTTAAAATTTGGGAACAAGTTGTATTTGTTGAGATCCATTGTGAGTTTAAGGTATAAGGAAAAGACTTCCTTTGAAAGATATAGGAGCTGCTAAGCACATTCTTGCTATAAGAATCATGTGTAATAGACAAGTAAAGAAACTTTGGATATCATAAAAACACTATATTAAAAGGGTATTGCAAAGATTCCAAATGGACAATGCTAAGGTTGTGAGTATTCCACTTACAACTCATATGAAGTTGAGTTTCAAATAAAGTCGATGAAATAAAGCTAATAATTAAATATGAAGGGATTTCCTTACGCATTTATTGTGGGTAGTTTGATGTATGCAATGATGTGTACAAGACCAAATATATGTAATGTGGTTCTTCATTTTGATGTATGCAATATGACTTAGCATATACATATTGTACTTAACCACTAACTAATTACATTAACTAAATACAATTAGATAGATGTTTCAATTCAGTTAGCAACTAATCATTGTATATAAACATTGTATTGCAACCATTATGAATAACACAATTAAGAAATAATCATTTTTCTTCATCTCTTTCTCTTTATGTTTTTTGTTATTTCTTCTACAAATTGTTAAGGTTTCTTGCCTCTCATGGCTTCCACAATTTTCATGATGGTATCAGAGCTCTTCAATGTGTAACTTAATCCATTTTTCATCTTTTTTTGTTTTTGTGTTTCACAATCCTGTTGAGTTCATTATGAGTGAAAAACAGGTTCAAGATCAAGCATCTAAGGTGCATAGCCCGTATTACCTTCATCCTGGAGAAAGTCCTGTTATGACGCTTGTTTCTCTAGTTCTTGATTCAACAAATTACAATTCATGGAACAAATCCATGCTCATGACACTGAGTGTTAAGAATAAAGCAAAATTCGTCGATGGAACGATTTAGAAACTAGCTTCAAACCATGCTCTTCATTCGGCATGAAAGAGGTGCAACAATATGGTTGTATCATGGATTGTGCATTCAGTTTCACCTTCAATTCGGAAGGGCATACTATGGATAAACGATGCTTGTGATATATGGAAAGATTTCAAGTTACAATATTCACAGAGGAAATTGTTGAGAATCTCAAATTGCAACAAGACATAGCCTTAATCAAGCAAGGTGACAATTCTATTAATGATTACTTTATGAAATTGTGCATAATTTGGGATGAGTTAGAAAGCTATAGGCTTGATCATGTATGTACATGCACACCAGTGTGATGGAAAGAAAAAAGCAAGATCATGCGATGTAATTCTTGAGAGGATTAAATAACCAATACAACAATATGAGATCAAACATTCTCATGATAAATCTTTTACCTGCCATAGCCAAAGTATTTTCTTACGTAGTTCAACAAGAAGACAATGCATAACAAACAAGCTTGTTAGGAAACATGAGCATGATTAATGCAGCCAGTTTAGTCTCAGGATCTAGTGTATCTTGTAGTTATTGTGGTAGGAGTAATCACACTGAACAAAATTGTTTTAAGAAACATGGATATCATGCAAACTTATCAAATAATAGAGGAAGCACTTGTGGCTCTTTTGGTATCGGGAATTCCACAAGAAGAGAGAATTTCAATAATGACAAAGTTTGTACCTATTACAATATCTTTGGTCATACTGTTGAAGAATGTTATAAGAAACATGGCTATCTTCTTGGACAACCACAAGGAGCCATAATCAATAATACAGTTGCAGAGGAAAACACCTCTAAGAATAATAATAAACAATTACAAGAAACTCAGACCAATGACTTAAAGCTTACTTCACAGCACTATCAAACTCTATGGAATTTGTTGCAACAACAACCTTCAAATTCAAAAAGTAGTTCTCATCACATTAATCAACTTAGTATCGTTTCTTCTAATGCTCATTGCATTATAGGTAATTTTTACCCTTAGTTTGTGTTGTTAGTAGACTTGATCAAGTGACATGAATCTTTGATTCGGTACCACTAATCATGTCACTTCATCCTTACAATATTTTGCATCCTATAGAGAAATTAGTCTCGTCGTAATTAAACTTCTAAATGGCTAATGTTAAGTGTCTATTTTGTCTAAATTCTGGTAAGTATTTAGACATTTAAGAACTTAATTTAAATAAAAAAAATTTTCTTAACCCCTTTTTCTTTAAGAAATTAAAAAGATATGTAAATATCATATTTTGTTGAGAGTTGTCAGATTTTGAAACTAATTTCTTTTATTTTGACCTTGCAGGACTTAGAAAGATTTTTGGAAGATTTGAAATCCTTCAACCGCTCAGCTATTATACAGGTGCTGAGCAAATTTGTTCTAGAGAGGATGGAGGTCTTGGCCTTTAAAGTTCCCAACACTTGTCTAGGTGCTCAGCGATTTAGGTTTCTTAACCATGAAGAATTCTCTCAACTGCTTAGTTGTTCCCCAAGTGTTGAGCTGTTCACTCTCTCTCTCTCCAGATAGTATAAATAGAAAACAAAGACAGAACGAAGGTGGCAGAGAAAAACAAAAAAGAGAAAAACAAAAACAGAGGTCACAAGACTAGGTTTTCATCCAGGGAAAAAGGGAGATTCATCATTTTAGCTCTTTTACTCCATTCTCTTTTGTATTTTGGGATTGACATTTATCACCATGAGTAGTTAAACCATTTTTCTGTTGAGATTGAATGTAATCCATCAAACTCTCTTGTATTCCTTTTTACTATTGTCTTACAAGTTCCTGTGGTTCGACAACCCTTATTTTATCTTTACTCCAATAGACTTGGTCCGCTTGCGACACTTTAAAATTTGCTTAACAAGTCTCGGTGCCGTTGCCGGGGACTTGTGTCAAGCTAGTTAGTAGTTCTGAGTTATCCTTAATAAAGCTTGTTTATAATTAGAATGATAGTATATATTTTGTTTATATTTAGAAATTATTGTTCTTGTGCTAATCCTTTTGTTTAGTTTCTTTTGCATATGCGAGGAAAAGTTTCAGCTAAACAGATACTTTTTGATCCAGAAATCGAGAAAACAGCTAGACGGAATAATAGTAAAAAAAGGAAACAAAAGAAACTTGAAAAAGAGCAGCAACAAAAGGATGGTTCATTCACCTCAGTTTTTGTTCAACAATCTCAATCTGAAACAATGGTTGAAGATAGTGGTCTTGGGAATAATAATAAAAATAATCCCAGAAGACTTTTAGGAGAATACTCTCACCAATTGGGGCCTAGACATTTTTCCAGTATTGTGAGGCTATCCAAAGGAGTGAAATGAAGCCAGCTCTATTATCTTTGACCACATCAAACTAGTTTGCAGGAATGGACCATGAGGATCCCTATAATCACTTGTCTACCTTTTATGAGCTGTGTGGCACTATAGGAGTTCCGGGTGATGATGAAGAATCTGTGTACTTTAGGTTTTTCCCTTTCTCTTTGACAGGAAAAGGAAGAACTTGCTGCAATCTCATCCAAATCAAAGTTTAACTCAGTGGGAGGATGTGGAAAGAAAGTTCTTGACTAGACTTTTCCCTCCTTCTCGATACATCAGTGCCAAGTCAGCCATAGCCACTTTTGTAACGTCTTATATTTCTTTCCTCAATATATGATAAATTTTCATAAAAATTTAAATGGTAAAGTAAATTTTCTTTCAAAAACTCTCTAATGAGAAAGAAACAATGAAATAATATAAGGTTCATTGAGTAAATTTTCATTAATTTATAAGTACTTTAGAAAAATAAAGATTCTAAATTTTCATCAGCAACAAAAAGAAATAATAGTTTTATAACTGTTTCAAAAGAATGTTATAGAATTGAAAACATCCATTACATAACTCAAAATAACTAAGTCCTATAGCAGTTCTCATCCATCCATGCACAGTGAGCTTGATACTATTTGTCTTAATTTCCTGAAAATGTTGTGTAAGGGTGAGTCTCTACCCTACCACTCATACAGAACACATATTCATCATAAAACACATCTGATCACGATAATGAAAACATCATGATATTACATATCACAGTGTCATATAAAGCAAGTTCTCATCTTAACACATAAACACATATTATATTCCACAAATTCACAATTTCATTTTCTTTTACCCGTGCTTACCTTGCCATGTGGCCATAGTTATCCGATACCTCTATCCTGAGGTCATACACATTCATGTAAATAGTCGTCAGATGGCCCAATGCAATACGGAAACACATGCAATAGACAGCCCTTTAGCAAAGGTAATGGTCAAGAGTTAAGTCAGAAAACAAGTGTGCGGCCATGTGGTGTATTTATACACAATATTTCGTGCACAATCTTGAATGTCACTCACCATCCTGCATTTTACCAAGATATCCCATATTGTCTCCATCTTCCACTCCCCACTACAAGAACTTACATATTTTGTGACCATAATATTTGTCATTAAACACTCTAAAAGTAGTTGTTAAAGTAATTCTGTGACGATATTTAAATTCGTCATCTATCGTCACTAATAGTTAAATCACTATTATATTTATGACGATATTATATAGTTACTAAAATAAAATATTTATTATAACAAAAATTAACGTCACTAATATATATGAGTATTAATGACAAGATAATTCACCACTAATATTAGTCACTATTATTCTAAAATTAATGACTAATGTATTCATCACTATTAGAAATTATTTTAAACAATATTTTTATAACTAATTTTTTTAAAAATTAATATTTAATTAATAATTACTTTAAATTAACAATTTATATATTATTACTCAAATTTATATTACTAATGGTTTTAATTATTATTCTTTAAAATTAACGTTTTTATGATATCAAAGTGATTATATTATAACAATTGTATTTTTAAATAAAATAAATATAAATTAAAATCATAAATAAATTATTAAGACATAAATTGAATCATAAATTTAAATATAATAAATATCCAATAAAAGTTTACACATGAAAATTATAAAAGAAATTAAAATACATCATTAATATATTAAAATTCTAAAATAAAAAAAAAGATTAATATTAAATTAAACAAATAAAATAGAATGAAAGATGCTCTAATGGATTCTGATCCTACACATAAGAAAAAAGAAAATAAAATGATATTAATAAATGTAAATTAATCAATTAATAAATTTTTAAGAATGTAATTATATAATAGTTAAGTAATAAAAACTAAAATAATTAATAAACTTACTGTTGGAGCATATGAATTTTTAAATAGCTTGTTAAATGATAATTCTCCTAATAAGATAGTCCATTGATGTTTCATCTCCATCTCAAGGTCTTACTTCATTTGTTTTTGTTGAGATTTAAAAGTTAATCTTTAAGCATCAATCAATTCACGTTGAGATTACAATTCAACTTGGAGTTGAAAATTAGCGTCCTCTTGTTTTTTTGAAATATCAGTCAATTTTTTCACCTCTAATTTTAAATCATTTGCTCTTTTTTTTGCATTCTCAACTTGATTTTCAATAATTTGTTTGTTTATAATTTTTTTTTTATTGCTACACTCCCTAAACCAAGTGAGTGATTTGGTTTTCTTCCTAATACAAGTGCAAAATGCTCAACCAATGACACTTGAGCTTGAGAAATGTCTTCTTGGTATACATCTCTTATATTCTTCAAATCTTCCTGTAGAAAGTTTAAAATAAATAAATTGAAAATATAAGAATTAGATAATTTGGAAAAGAAAAATATTAATGAAATTTTTGTTTCAACTACCACAACTTTTAAAAATATTTTCTCTTACCATAGTTTGGGCACCATTTGGAGTACACCATGTTCCATTAGATCTCATTCACGTGGCCTTCCATATTTTCACAGCATCTAGCCATTCATTAGTTTTTTTAATCTTCTTTCTATTAAAAAAATAAATAAATAAGAATTTAAAAATAATAAAAGTTAATTGATAAATTACTAAAAAATAAAAAACAATAAAAAATAAAAAGTAATACAACATCATCAATTATGATTCAACATCATCAACTTGAAAGATATCAATTATAATTCAATAATATCAAAACACAAACAATAATTTAACGTCATTATAGATTAAGCTACCAATTATAAATTCCAATAAAAGATATAAAAAATATCTATTATAGTTAAAATTACTCATATTTTTGTCATAAACATAGATAAATACCATTTCAAATTACTCATGTTATATATAATGCATAAAAAATTAACATAAAACACAAAAAAATACCATTTCAAATGTTTGTTGCACAATTGATTTTGTACCAGTGATAGATTTAATCTCTTGCTTACTTCGATTAGCTTTATTTTTCAAGATTTTCTCCTACATGAAATGAAAATGATTTTTTATTATAAGTATAAAAAAATAAATAAACTAAAGTTAAAGATAAAGAAGGAAATGTACCTGAAATTTAGAATCACTCCATTTGTTTTCTATTAGCCAATTCCAATCCTCAGGAGACACATCATTTGGCCTTTTTTTTAAGATATGCTTGATACAAATTATGATGCCTAGTCTTATACTGAGATTGCATTTGTTTCTTAGCATATTCTTTAACTTCATCGGACAACCATAAGATTTCCTGAATTCATGTAAATTCATTAGAAGAGACAAATCAAAATATTATAAAATATTTTGTTAGGTTAGAAAATATTGTATAAAACAAGTAAATAAGTGAAGTAATGTTAACCTTCATATGTTTCCACATTGCATTTACATCATCTTCGGATATTTCTTTCCAACTATTAACTTGAAGCAGTGCTCGTTAGCGTATACAAATAAGTGCTTCATATTTAAAAAAATTTGCATGCTTTCCACAAAGTTTGTAGTATGGTGGAGGAAATTGGATATTAAGCGTTTTCCCTTCACCATTCTCTTTGCGCTTTTTTGTTGGAGTTTTGCATTAATGGTATGTCCACGACCCTTTCTAATATTGTCTAAAATAAAATAAAAGCATAACATTGTAAATTTATACAATTTTCAGGATGTCACATATTGTTTTACTAACTATGGTGAAAAAAATTTTCATACCTATATTCATTTCAGCTTGTTCAACATCGATCACTTGCGAGTCATTAGATACAACATTAAATTGAGTCTTGTTCACGTTTATTGGACTTAGCATAGTCATTGTATTGAAGCTAGAAAAATGAAGTTTAAAATTAGTTATTCTTGTGACAGATGAATGAAAAAAATAACAGAGCAATAGATGAGTGGTGAATAATTTAAGGGGAAAAAATACAAAAAATTACATGCATTAAATTTCTATTTTATTCATCCCAAGATACCAATACTTATATGGCAATATGCTACCTTTTCTTCAGGAGGTAGAAGGGCATCTTCTGCTTTTGCCATTTGAGCAACACCAATAAAATCTATCAATTCCATAAGTGAGGAATTTGCACCTTAGTGTTTTATTAGAACAATGAAGCCAAGAAAAACAAGAGTAGAAGGAAATATAAACCATCCTAATCTGAGTCTTATCACAAACTGTAATCAACTTGTACATTACAAAAACATAAACGAACATAATTATATTATGAAACACATGGACTACAATAAACATAAAAATGAATCAGATAAAACACACCTAATCTTTCTATAGCAATCAAAGCCTCCTCTCGCTTGTAACCCATTTTTACCAAAGACTGTAAGATATCACCATTCTCAGAAATAGTTTTTATCTGTGTCATATTTGAAAACAATTACATGTCAAATTACATATCCTATAGCACTAGTAAAAACCATCCCAGTAGACGACATTAATGACACAAAATAACATGATAGTAACCAATTAATCTCAGTACCTTTCTTTTTCGTGACCCATGAGTATTTTCAATGGCAAAGTTGTCATCTTTATGGTACTCATTTTCTTCATCCTCAGGTTTATACTCTTTATCTTCTTCATCTTCAATCTTTTGATCTTCATCTTTCTTGTTCTTGACATTCTCAAGTAGACTCTTGAAGAATAAAGTCATTTAAGACAATCCCAACTCTTCTAATTTTGCTTTATTTTCTGCAATTCTTTGTAGTCTCTCTTTCTCGTATTCTAACATAATTTTGTGCAAAATAATACTACTTAAAAAATAAAAAACTATTAGCCATTTTATACAAGAAATAGAACTAAGACCTTGTTAGATAAAAGTAAAACAAGATCTAACGGTCAAGATCCATACCTTTCCAATTCTTTCTGAGATTAGCAAGTTTGTGAGTCGAACGAATGAGAGGAGGGGCTGACAGAAATAGTTTGCTATTTGATTACAATGCAATTACAGTAACCGCTATTATAGATGGTACTGGATCAGTTGGTGCAGCTCTTGGCCCGTACATTTCATATCAACAACGGAATGGGATCAGATTTTTGCTATGCTAATTATTGGGGCTTTTATTATCGGGCTTCTTTTGTCAGGTTTGATCATGGCTAAAATCGTAGAAAAAACTGGCAAAACTTTATCCAGCGAAGAGCAAAATCCTCAAGGATATATTTCTCAAGTTTGTAAATCTGTCAAAAGATTAACCGATAATCTGTTTCTTGCATTTATGATGGACAAAAGTTCACAAGTGCTTTGATATTCTCTAATCAAAATTGGAGTTTCTTCTCCAAAATGTTTGTCAATTTTTACTATGCAGAATGTGAAGGTGAAATTCATACCAGCTTTGCAATAGATGAGATTGGCATTGGCCTCTACCTCGCATGCTCCAACGCAATATATATTTCTGATCCTGCCACCAATTAATCCCAGTACAATAGTCGTAGTAGCTCCAATAAATACCAATGTCAAGAGCAAGCAAAAAACAAGCGGGAGCTCCAATAAACACCAATGTTAAGAGCAAGCAAAATAAAAACTCAAGCAGGAAGAGTTATGTGCGCAAAATCTTTATTGTTTTCCGGTATAATTTTTTAAGATAGTGGAGCACTTCCTTCCCACATAATAGGATAAGTGGAATTATGATTTATGGTAGTTACTGTTGCATTTTTTTATATCACGCTATACGTTAATTAATTTCATATATGTTGCATATCAGATAAGAATAATTTCATCACCATAATACTTTTGAATTAATTCTGAATCAAAGAAATTTTAAAATAAAAATATTATTTTACCAATTTATAACACATAGAATAAAAGAATTTTATATTAAAACATTTGTTATAATAAAAAATAAACATACCTAAACGATAGTAAGTGAATTCAGTACATTACAAATTTAGAATTTGTGCTATAGTATCATTTCCTCTAATTTTATGTTTAAATTTTAAATTCTTATATGGTAAAATAAAAATAAACTTGATACTGTTTATTTTTGAATTATTTTTAAAATAGAATTATTAATAATAAAAGTTTGTTATTTTAGATAATATTATTTTTAAATTGTAAACTTTAATTCATATTTAAATGGTCAATCAATGTTGTAATTTATATCTCCATGTTGAATGGTTCTTGAAGTTCTTCCAAATCGGTAAGAGCAGTTGTTACCTATAATTATCTATTCTTTAATTTAATAAGTTTAATTCTAACGAGTGATTACTTATTATTTTGTTTGATATATATTTTTTGTGGTAGCTAGATATGAGATTAGATAAAAGTTGGATGCAACTTACTAATAGAACAAATCTTTTATACAACAAATGAGTATGTGAATTTCTTGAATTCGCATTCAATGGTCTTGAGGAAGGAAAGTTACTTCGTTGTTTATGTAAAAAATGCAATAATAATCTGCATTGGTCTTGACAAATTATATATGAGCACTTAACCACAGTTGGGATAAAAAGAGATTATATTCTTTGGGAGTATCATGGAGAAGTGGCTAGTGAATCTGATGAAGACAATGATAATGATGATGAGCAAGATTGTAACGAGGGAATTCATGATATGTTGCATGATCTCAAAAATTTCATCAGCACTGAAATCATCACATAAAGTAAGGAAACAAGTTATATGGTCAATCCAAACATCAGTCAAATGAATGAAGAAGCTGGTAACTTTATAATCTATTAGCGGATGCCGAAGAAGATTTATATCCTAGCTGCGATAATTTTTCTAAGTTATCATTTATAGTACAACTATTAAACATCAAGTGTATGTTTGGTATGAGTACAAAATCAATTAATGCTTTACTTTCTTTATAATAAACTTCATGAATCTTATTTTGATGCTTGAAAAATTATTCGTGAACTAGGGCTTGATTACACAAAAATAAATGTTTGTCCTTGTGATTACATACTTTATCGGGCTGATTATTCAAAATCTACGTCTTGTCCAACCTGTGGCGATCCTCGATGTAAAGATCCAAAAAAAAAAAAAAATACCCCAAAAGGTCTTGCGTTATTTTCCTTTAGCACCAAGGTTACAACGATTATATATGTCCTCAAATATTGCTACAAAAATGAGGTGGCATAAAGAAATACCATTTGAAAATGAAAAAATGAGACATCCGACTGATTCCTTGGCTTGGAAGAGTTTTGACTCTCAATATCCTTCCTGGGCTGCAGATCCACGCAATGTTCGACTTGGACTAGCAAGTGATGGTTTTAATCCTTATGGAAATATGAGCACTACATATAATGTGTGACCAGTTGTGTTAATTCCTTATAATCTACCACTTTGGATGTGCATGAATGATCCTTATTTCATAATGTCGTTGCTTATTTCAGGCCCTAAAGCCCCAGGAAATGATATAGATGTGTATTTGCAGCCATTACTTGATGAATTGAAAAAATTATGGGAGAAAGGTGTAGAGACATATGATGCATAAAAAAAAGAAACATTTACATTATATGCATCTATTTTGTGGATTATTAATGATTTTCCTGCATATGGAAACCTCTTAAGATGGAGTACTAAAGGAAAATTTGCATGTTCATGTTGTCACTCACATATATGTTGCTTAAGACTACCCAATGGACAAAAACTCGCATACATGGGAAGTCGTCGATTTTTGCCACCTAATCATCCTTGGCGAAAAAATGCAAAAGATTTTGATGGCAACAAAGAAAAACGATAATCTCCTAAACTATTATCTGGAGACGACATAGTTGAACAATATCAAAATTTTGATCAAGTAAGTATTTTTAACATCATTTATAACTAGCATGGACATATCATTTCCAAATTTTTATTGCCAAAAAGTTAGATTATATATATTTTTGTATTTAAATTTTTATTGCTAAACTTTTGTATTTAAATTTGTAAACTTGTTTTTTAATATATATTTTATATTTTAAATTGCTGTAAAAATGAAAAATAGATAATATAATTATTTTTTATATATTTTGAATTAAAAATTATAAAAATAAAATTTTGTTATATTAGATAATATCAACTGTAACAAGAAACAAATTTTTTTTGCATCTATATTTTTTCTAAACTTTTGTATTACAATTCTACTTCTTGTTTTTTTTATATATTTTTCAAATTTTAAAAAGAAAAGAAAATTTTAATATAATATCAACCGTAACAATTTAAATTTTTTTTAATTTTATATTATATTAGATATTAATAATGATAAGATGCACTTTTTATATACATTTTAAATTTTTAAAAACTATAAAAATAGTATTTATACATTAACTGTTATATATTTCTTATGTATATATATATATGTGTGCATGTGTGCCTAATATTATATTTATATGTGAATAATTATGTTTCAGGTAGAGTTTGGTAAATTTATTTTTTTTTTAAAAAGCAAGGAGAAATTCAATTGTGTGGGAATTGGAAGAAAAAAAGTATTTTCTTTGAATTGTCTTATTGGAGATATTTAAAGTTACGGCACAATCTAGATGTCATGCATATTGAAAAGAATGTTTGTGATAACATACTATGAACATTGATAAATTTTGAAGGAAAGACTAAAGATAATATTAAATCTCGTTTTGATCTAGAATATTTGGGTATACAACATGAGCTTCACGCAACTATGATTGAAGAGGGTAAATATACATTTCAACCTGCATATTATACTATGTCATATGAGGAAAAACGTGTCTTTTATCAATTTTTAGTTAACTTAAAAGTCCCTGATGGTTACTCGTCCTATATATCTCGATGTATAGATGTTAAAGAAGGGAAAATATGTGGAATGAAGTGTCATGATTGTCATGTATTTTTACATCGCTATCTTCCACTTTCAATTCGTGGTTTTCTGCAAAATGAGGTTTGTGAGGCACTAAATGAACTAAGTTACTTCTTTAGAGAGATATGCTCTAAAACATTGAGTATGGCAAACCTGGATTTACTTGAAAAATCAATAGTTACAACCTTATGCAAGTTGGAAAAAATATTTCCTCCTTCATTTTTTTGACATAATGATTCATTTACCTATTCACTTGGTAAATGAGGCAAAGTTGGTTGAACCAATGCAGTATCGTTGGATGTATCGTGTTGAAAGATATTTGTGTAGGCTTAAATCATATGTCAGAAATAAAGCTCGTCTGGAGGGATCTATTGCTGAAGCATATATTGCACAAGAATATTTGCATTTTTGTTCGAGGTATTTGTATGGAGTTAAGACAAGATTAAATAGATGTGGACAAAATTATGAAGGTAATTTTGACGAATGTAACAAATCAAAGTTTGACATTTTTTCACAATTTGGCAAACCATTACATGAAAGAAAGTATGTTGAGCTAAGTTTAGTAAAGTGGGACAAGTAAGAATCTATGTTATCAAAAAGTAATTGA